ATAAACTAAAGCTCTTAAAACCACAGAGCTCTCAATTCTGGTTAGTGGTACACATATGGAAGACAAAATTTGAAAGAGGAAAGTTGTACATGAGGAGTAACAGTTATTCCTGTTGAGGATGGCCTATAGGAACAAGAAGGAAGGCTTGTATCCAGACCATTAGGAAGCCCACAATGAGCAATGATCATTCTTTATTAATTTCTTTCCCAGTGACACCTCCCTGGTCCAAGTAGTTTGTTATTGCCTTGTATAAGAAATGTACTGAGAAACAAAATGAGCTGCACAGCTAAATCCTACCACATATTCGAGTAGCTGAAAGTGTATTCTGGGGTAAAAACATGTTATGAGAAAAATGGTCTACTTGCTTGTCTACAAAAGAAAGGTATCTATGTTTTGGAACCTATTTCTATAGGATCAGAACACTGGTAAGAGGAAACACAGCGAAGGACAATCAACCACCTCCCAGGTTTGGATTCTCTATCAAGTACAACAGTCCATCACCCATTACCATAGAAATGACTGGAACTTGCAAAGTTCTTCTATTAGGTAAACAAAAACTTTAGTTTACATGAATTAACAGCCTGATTTATCAGATTAAAAAAAATAGTAATGGTATTAGTTAATTGCAAGACCCTTAAAAGGAACAGCCAAGTTCATTTGATATAATAATCAAAACAAAGTCCATGCAGTCACTTCCACACATGCCATCTAAGAATTTTTAGCCTCATATTTTTCTATTCTCCCTAAGTTTCTGTAGCTAATATGATCCAACACAAAACTCTTTGGTACATGAGGCAAACACACTACACGCACACACTGCAGCCAGTATTTCATTAATGACCACTTATGTCCCAAGAGATCTCTCTTGTAGAAGATGTTAATTTAAAAGATGCATTGTTATAGAACACACTCCTCTGCACCCCCAGCATTATGAACAGAGATGTAATGATTTACAGACACACTGTAAAAATGCAGAACTTTATACCTCAAACCCCAAATACCATGTCTTTAAAAGAAAAATAAGAATAAAAAAAATGTTTATGAACCCTTCATAACTCTTAGCAAACATCTCTCAGCATTAAGGGAAACAAAGTAACAAAACCAGCAAAGATGCCAACAGTTTACAAGCAAACCAAAACCATACATCCATGACGTGGAACGAGCACTACTGCCTGTTTAACTCTGAGCTGGAAGAGTGCAGTAATTGCTCATTAAGGCTACAGCAAGCACTGCTGAGTGAAGGCTTCCAAAGCAACAAGCCAGTGCTCAGGCCAATTCAACACAATAATTTTAATATAGACAACACGTTCAACTAGAAGTGATCTTTTCACAGAATGATAGAATGGTTTGGGTTGGAAGGGACCTTAAAGATCTCTTAGTTCCAAGCCTTCTGCCATGGGAGCAACCACTAGATAGGTTGCTCAAAGCCTCCAATCATTCACTGCTTGTTTTCTATAACTCAGAAATGAGAATTCTGTACTGGTAAGTAGAAAACGATACAACTACAGCCTCACACAGTAGCTTCAGACAAGGATATTAATATCTTAAACATATGGGGTTTATATTTTAAATATAGATATTCAAATAAAACAGTTCAGTGCAACAGACTTAAAGAATACTTATTTTTAATAATATACTCAACATACTGAAGTTCAATTTGTATTGGAGAAATAGTATTAAATAAAACCACAAAGAAAGAAGTAGAGTAATTATCTTTTAATCAGGTTTCAGACATATTCTGTTAAAGCAGTAAAAACAGTAGGAAAGAAACTGATGTTTTCTCAGTATTGACTACTCCACTAGGTATTTAATAAGTTTTAGAAGAGTTGAGTTTTTGGATCTCCTTAGTATTTTACTGAGAGGTTTTAGAAAAGACAGGCTCTTGTTAGGAAAACCTATTTAGATTCTCGTTTTCAATGTATACGTTTCTATAAGTCATAAAGGAGAGTCATAACATAATGCATTCTTAAGACATCTCAGGCTCTGTTTAAGAGAGAACTCTGAGCACTGAGTATTTTCAGCTTTATTAAACCCTATGTATATCCTACTATGACGGAACTACACAGTAACACTGAGGCAGAACATTAGGTAGTAGCAAGATGTAGCCAGTGCAACTGAACTGTCTTTGACGTGACATTTTTAGTTGTGATGAAACTGTGAAACAGAATCAACGGGCACATCAAGGGGTCCAAGTAGCAGACAAGAAATCAGAAACTCCTAAATTTTCAGACGTAGCTCCACCACCAATTTATATTTGGTCTCTAAAACATTTTAAACTCTAATCTCACTACAGTCATTATGAGATACATCCAGTCATTGTAACTGAAGCAACGAGAGGACACATCATTCTCTCAGTCTGTAAAATGTGAACAAAAAATATTCCTAGCCAAAAGGAGAAGACTGTTTTCCTGCAATCAAAGCCCTGAAATAATGATAAATTAGGCAGCGTTATTCTTTTTAACATTTTTCAGATTCAGATCATTTAAAAATTAAATGCATACCATTTAGACCTCATGAATCATATTGAAATAATGTCCTGCCTGCTCCAATTAACACCAACACCAATCCTCAGAACTTCCTATCCCAATTAAAAGAAGTAAGTAAACATTTACCTTTTCCTAAGCCATTCCTGCAGAGCAAAAACGTTGCATACCTCCATACGTGACTACTGGCACATGTGTGAGCAATCAGGTGATTTCTTCAGTTTTGAAAAACTACCATTTTAAATCATGATGCCACATCAAATGGGTGATAATAGATCTTTGCTACAGCTTTGCTCACACAACACTGCTTTTATAGAACTCTGAATACATTTCAATCGCTTTTTTACACATAAGCCATCAATACAGTATGTTCATTTACTTCCACATCTGACTACTTGAAAAGTTAAGAGTAGTAATTTGCAATTTTCTCTTTTGCTATTTATATGTGTCATTTAAATATTTAAAATTTGGCATCCAGAAGGAACTTTTCTCTTTGAAAGAAAGGATTTTTACTTAAGTATGTGAAATTCAGTTTTCTGTGGGTTTTTTTTGTTTGTTTGTTTTGTTTCTTTTAAAGATCAGACATTCAGATGAAAAAAAGCTATGAGAAACGTGTTATTCAGAAAACTTCTAATCATTCCTTGAAACAAAACTGTGATGTAACCAAAAAAAGGGGGTGGCCCCATAAAGGTTCCTAAATCTCCAAGCAGTTAAGAGATTTGAGTTCCTAAAACAAGCCAAACCCCCCCAAACTCACAGTTGTATTAAACTACATTAACAACTTCTGGTGATTTTATATTACCAAAATATGGTATCTATAGGGAAAAAAGCAATTAGTTTTTTTAAGAAGACTGCATTTAATCTGAGAAGAAGTATATTGAAATTAGCCCATAGCATTGCAAGTCATGTATAAAATAAGCTTTGAAAAGAAACTATGGACAAGAAAGAAGGAAAGCTATTGGGCTGCATCTCACCTTCTGATATATAGCTCTTCCCCTACTACAGTTTATCTTGCTATTTGTGATTCACAAAGAGTTCTTTACAACACCAGGAATTCCATACTTCAAATATCAAACTGCTCTGCGTTAAGCTCCACAATTAACAGCTGAAATGCAGGCATTAGGAGCAGTGAGGTTTTGTTACTGCAAAACCATTTAGAGACACGGTGGATGTTTGGGATGCTTGCCCCACCACACGGACAGTTGGTATTTATTTCCATAGTACAGTGTATCTGACTCGTTAATTATCAGAGAAGCATCAGCGCAATCCATCAGCACAATCAAGATGGGTATCTACAACCTCTGGATATTGTGAACACAATCAATGAAAGACTATCACTAAGATAGTAATTATACAGCCTCAAAAGGTAGTATATATTTAAGCCAAATAAAGGGAGAGGGAGGGAGTTCTTGCCGTTGATTTCAGAATTAGAGCACGCAAACCCCAGATCTGCTAAAGGTAAACGTGTTCACATTCAAAACGGTAAGATCACACAGTTAGTACAGAAGCAGGGACCTCACTATGTACCACAATCATATCCATAGCCAGCCTAAGCATTTATCAAGCTTAAACGTCAGTCACGAGCTACAGCTGCAAGGCATTTTAGGGGAAAACAGCTGGAAGCAGCAGAGCAGTGTAACGACTGTATGTACACACGCCTTGGCTAAAGGTAGAGATTACCAGATCCCACAGCCAGTGGAAAGAGAACACACCAAACACCCGTTTAACAGACTACGCCTGAGGAGCGGTCAGCAACAAGGCTGCTCCATCCTCCAGCGGGGAGCGAGCGCGGTGCCGCTGCCCCGGCAGAGCCGCCTCACCCCTGCGCGCTCCGGGGATGCGGCTCTTCATGTGAGCGGCCCCGGCGCTCCCGCAGCGCCAGCGCGGAGCCGGAGCCCAGCGCGGCGCCGGGGCGGCCCCCCGGCAGCGCCCCGCCTTTCCCCGCCGAGAGCCGCGCCCCGCGGAGAGCCGCGCACTCGGCCGCCACCGCCCCGCTCCGCGCCGGCAGCGGGCACGGGGAGCTGCACGGGGAGCAGCGGCCGCCCGCGGCCGTGGTAGCGCGGCCGGGCAGGGCGGGCAGAGCTCCGCTCCGCGCCGACCCAGCGCCGACCCACCGCGCCCGGCGCGCCGCGACCGCGGGCGAACGAGACCCCCTATGGGCGAGCTGGGGGCTGGTGCCTCAACCCCGAGCGCGGCTCCGCACAAGGCATCGCTGCTGGGCGACAGCGCCAGCTCCAGCTCCCCGCGCCCGCGGCGGCTCCGCCAGCCCGCGCGGTGCCCGCACGGTACCCGCGCGCATCGCCCCGCAGCCAGGCAGCAGCCCGCCGGTACCCTCCGCGCAGCGCACACGGAGCCGGGCGTCCTCACCCCGTGTCATCCACAAAAACCGCTCCGGGAGCGCCCGGCGGCTCCCGCTCCGGCGGGGCACGGCACCCCCGGGCGCGCCCCTCACCGCCCCCCGCGGAAAGCGAAGTTCGGGCGCCCGCGGCGCCGCTCCCGCCTCCCCGGCAAACTTACCGAGCGCGGCCACCGGCTGAACTTTCAGCAGCGCCCCGGCTCAGCCCCGCCGACGGCTTCGCCCATCACCTTTAGGTGCGGGTGCGGTGTCCGCGCCCCGCTCCCCGGCGGCTGCGGCGCGGGCCGATATAAATCCACATCCCCGCTGCCGGCGGCTCCCCCGCAGCCCGCCCCGGCCCCTCCGCCCCGCCGGGGGGACGCGCCGGCTCCCGCAGCCGCGGCTCGACCCGCAGCCCCGCGCGGCGGGCGGTGCGGAGCCGAGGCGCGAGGGGGACGCGGGGCCGGGCTCGGCGCAGCCCCGGCGCTGCTGCCGCCGCCGCTGCTCTCCGGCGGGTGTAGTGTCAGCGGCGCCGCTCGCTCGCAGGGTGGGAAATTTTTTTTTTTTTTTCCTCCTCTTTTTATTTTTTTTTTTTTCTCCCCCCTTTTCGGCTCCTCCGCCGTTAATGAGCATGCCCGGGAGAGCCGCGCAGGCGCTTTGCCCGGCGCCGCGCCTCGAGTCGCCTCGCACCGAGCGGAGGGGCGAGGGCTGAGGGGGCGCGAGCTGAGGGGGCGCTGGGGTGGCCGGGCTGGCGCTGCCCCGGCTGGCGCTGCCCCGAGGGTGGAGGTGGCACTGGGGCGGGAGGCAGCGAGCGGCAGGGGCTGAGCCGCCCGCGGGGGAAGCTTTGGGCAGAGTTCGGCAAGTCCGCGGGAAGGTGAGGCGGCTGCGCCCGCCTGAGGGAGCGGAGCTGCACCTGCCCCGCCGCGCGCCCCGGGGGAGAGGGTAGAAAGGGGGGGAGAAAAAGCCCCACCGGCAGCCCTCTGCGTTGGGAAGGAGCGCAGAACACCTCCGTCTAAATCATTTACCTTGTTGAGGAAGAAGGGCTGGTAGTGGAATCAAGGCTTGGGAGGGAGATGCTGATTAATAGAGGGTGCTCACGATCTGAGCTTACTAAGGTGGGGGTCTCCTGTGGCCACCATAAACAGTCTTGATGGAGGGGAACTTCATCTGCTGGTGCTGATCTCTGTAATTTCATCATTTATACACTGTGTATCCTCAGGCAGGCAGACATACAAAGGCATAAAGGTGATTACCACTTGCTCTTTTCATAACATCTAATTCTGCGTCTGCAGTTATTTGTAAAGATTTTTTTCTTTGGTGCTGAAGAGTCCAAGGAGCTGGCAAAGGTGTGCCTCTGGGGCTGGACCCGGCTTATCGGGCTGTCTCCATCCTGGTTTCTGCTCACATGCGTACTGCAAACACATATCTATCAATTCCTTAAAATCACTGCGGTTATTTACATTATTTAGCTTGTGCACTCAGCCACAGGAAAACACTGGGGAAAGTGTAATTCTCTATTGCTGTTATTTCTTTATAAGTTTCTGCATAGACCACCTAAAGTGGAGTCTTTTTTTTTTTTTTTTTTACTCTGTACCATGCCCCAGGACATACTTCCTTTAGACAGTTAGTTTATTTTGTTTATATAAGCATTTGAGAAAATGACATCTTGAAGATGTCTATATAATATCTTGCAGTACATAAATAAAAAATAATAAATTAGGTAATGTCATCTGTTCTAATATACAGCTGCTCTACATAACTTTTCAACATTTATTCTCTGAGACATCCGTGCCCTGAGCTCTAGCAGAAATAAAATCCAGATGCCCCCCCCCCCAAAATCTTACTGAGTCATTTTTTCCTTGGTTCTTCAGGTAGAAACACAGATAAGGTTTTGATATTTAAAATTACTTCCCAACAATGGGATCAGTTTGTGGGGAGCAAAGGAAAAAAGAAAATTCCTTACTGAACAGCATCACAAAGGTGATACAGGAACTGGCCCAAAATGCAAGTTCTTTTCCAAAACGTGTTTATGAGCATCTGTAAAAGTATAAAGCAATGGAGGTGTCTCCCCAGTTCACGTAGGGTGCAACCCAATTCTGAAAAGGCTGCAAGGTTTTAGTAATTCCAGAGTCAACCTCTTAAAAACAAAAACAAAACAAATAAACAAACAAGTATTGAAAGATTGAAAAAAGGATAAGGAGCCAAAAAGATGATAGAGTTTTAAAATCTGCTGCTTCCATGAGTGACAGAGCACTGGCTTTGTATCTTCCTTTCTAGACCTTGGGTATTTAGTTCCATTTAGTCTACCCATTTCTAAAGACTCAAATTTACAATGAAGATGTTGGTCTCGTTCTTTAGCATGAAATCATCTTTCGTCGATATCCTGGAAATATTAATCTGCCTCTCCCTAAAGAAAGCACAGCTGTAAAGATCCAAAAGTAAATATAGAGTCCTTTAGAAGTCCATTCTACCTTCCTTGGAGTAACTTCATACTATGCAGCAGAAAGTCATGAGCTATTGGTTATACATTACTTTCATAGGAAGGCCAGAGAGGCCAGAACTAACCAAACTATTTCCCATGAAACTCCAAGCCATTCAACAAACCTCACCATTAACTGTTTCTAAAAATTAATTATTTTAAGCCAAAACAGTCCTCTGTCAAAAGTCTGTCTCAAATTTCTGTGACTTAGCCCTGGTAAGTGGAATAATTCTTCAGCAGTATAGATCAGTCATGAACTATTCTTTGCCTAAAATAAAAAATAAATTTTCTTTCCCAGGAGACGTGGTTGTTTTTGTTCTTCTCTCTCTGGATAGACTTCAACTTTGCTTTTCATTGGAACAAAAATTACATATCACAGATTGAACATGGAAATAACTCAAAACCAAAGAAAGAAGAAGGTGGAGAATTAAGTCAATATGTTACTCACAGAAACATAAACCAAGATAGCCAACCAGTCTAGATTCTGAGTTTTATGATAGTACCAAAGTCAAGTAAATGTTGCCCTGCTATTAGCAGGCAAAGATCGTAGAATGTTATAATTCCATTGTTACTGGAATACTATGGAATTGCCTGTTGTAATCATTAACATACAGTAGTCATAAAATGATGGTAACCTCATCAAAGGAAGGCATGAAAAGATAACCAGTGGAGGTGGACATTCAATACTACCTGTGTCTCTTCAGCAGATGCTGAGATAAATGAACCAAAGTGGAAAATTATTTGCAGTCATCAAGTGGAGTGTCTGGTATAGATGGTAATTTCAGATGTGCTCCCTAGTGAATTGGAGGGAAACTCAAAAGGTCTGCTTGGAGTACTATGCAGATACTACATATTATTCCATGAGAAAGATGTGTAAGAAGGTGTGGAACTTCAAGTGTGTTGTATGGAAGCTCTAAAAGAACTAAGAGCAGATCTCAATCAGAGATGAGACCCATTGGGTAATGGGAATATTTTTGTAAGAGGAACTGCTCCAGTGGGAGGAACAGATACAGATACAGAGTTTTCCAAGAATCAGAACTAGTATTTTTATAATTGGAAACAAGAGCCCTTAAGCACATCAAACCTAAATGTACCAAATATCAAAAGTGCATTTAGCAAAAAAGAGTTCTGACCCTCAGGTTTCTCAGCCAAGCCTGCTAAACTAGTTTAGAAGGAAGCAACAGGTAAAATATTACTAGATATGCTGGTGTCAAGTGGAATTTTCTTACATATGTAGGTTTATATAGTATTGCAGCTCCCTGCACTGAAGATTTTCTCTGTAAGTAGCAAAGAATGGTATCTTGAGTGCACAGTTGCAATACTCGTCATTGCAGCACTGATGTTAAGGACTTGTTTGACACCTTTTCGCATCCTCAAGTTCAGAAGAGCCTCCTGAGTGAGTCATTGTCTTTAACTGGTAACTGAGTTATGCTGAAGCAGTTTTAAAATTATTCTCATGCCTCCTGTGGGAATAGAGATCATTGCCTGCATTGCAACAATCTCTGCTGAGACCTGAGACACAGCTGCTGGTCTCACTGCTGAATAGGATCTTTTCAACCCACCTGGGGTAGGATATCACCACACTCACCAGAATTCTGTCAGCCTATGCTTCCAAGAATGATGCTGGAAATTTCTCTTTTTTCCTCTTATTCTTTGAATCAGATGAAGTCCTCTAAAACCTCTGAAATTTTGGAGAATTTTCCTTGTTTACTAGACTGCTTTACTAGAGGCAAGAAATCAGCCCGATTCCAGTGCTGGCTATACTTTCTAACATAGTTTACTTGAAATGTGAGCTTTGACTTCACAGAATCATAGAATGGTTTGTGTCGGATGGGACCTTTAAAGTTCATTATGTTCCAGCTTGTCATGCCAAAGGACACCTTTCACTAGACCAGGTTGCTTCAGAGCTCCATCCAGTCTGCCCTCAAACACTTCCAGGGATGAGGCTTCCACAGCTTCTCTGGGCAACCTGTGCCAGTGCCTAACCACCCTGACATCTCATCTTCCTAACATCTCATCTAAACCTGCCCTCTGTCAGTTTGAAACTATTCCCCCTTGTCCTGTCACTCCATGCCCTTGTAAAGAGTCCCTCTGCAGTTCTCCTGTAACCCTTTTAGGTACTGGAAGGACTTGCTTCTTTTATTCTTTTCAATGGACTAAGAGAAAACTATTTCAAACAGCTGATGAAATATTTACAGTAAATTTCTTGATACTGATGGGAAACTACCCAGGTACGAGGGGCATTGAGATCCCAGCTGTCTGACAGAAGGGACTGAGTAGCACTAATAACATTGCCCTACCCCTTATGGAACAGGCAGAAAAATTATAGGGACATTCGAGACATTGTCAGACTCCAAAAGGACACAGTTGAGCAAGACCTCTTGTGTGCGTCAACATGGGATCCCAACTGTACTCCAAAAGTTAGAATTTTTCTAAAAAAACCAGGATTACACACGATAAAACTAATGAGACGGATCCATCATTGAGAGTTTACATGGTGGTTTTGGAATGTTGCCATTTTTTAAAATGATACCTCACATCAGTGAGGTGCGTATGGGGGGTGGATGTAAAACATGATCAAAACAGAAGTCTATTGGTACCCAGTGTGAATTCTCTGTGAGAATGCACAGATCATTACACAAACTGAAATGTAAAGGAAAATTGGGATAATTTTTTGTAACACTTATGAATATATTATGTCATTATATTTTTTTTTTCTAGTTAGATTCCAACTGAAAAGAAAATTGATACATTCCACTAAAGTGACGCACAGGCACAGTCTTGCCCTTGCTCTGAGAATATTCGAATTTGTAAAAGATTAGAAGGGTGAAAGTGAGCTATGAAACACCAGTCAGATGTTTTTACTTTCTGGACAAAAAGAAGGGGTCAGGAAGTAGAGAAAGTTGCTGTCCTATTTCCCTCTCAGAGAGAGAAGCTGCATTTCGTGAAGCTAGAC